AAAAAAAAAAAAAAAATACATTTAGAAATGCAAAGAAAGCCTTAAGCAAAACATGAATTTGGAAATATGTTAAACAAACATTTTCTAATTATTAGCAGGTAAGGTATTTTAAAATAAACACCATGTAAAAATGACGTGAAGAACTCAAAGTAAGATTCTTTTACCTTTGTAAAACAAGAAAGCTTGGTGCGTCAGTGTGGTCATTGTTGAATCACCATTTTATTTGTGCAAAAACTCAGCTGCTCAAAGCCCTTTGTGACTCGACACTGTTCGGGGAAATGGAGAGATGAGAGGAGCTAAATCAGTCTTCCTCTGACTCATTCATGTTCAAAGCCCATTTCTTTTTTGATAATTCTGAGAACTTGGAGCAGCTTTTGTTTTCTTGTTGGGGTGGTCATCTTACTGAGAGCCCAGTGTCTCCGGCTTCTGTTAGCCCCCATTGGCCTCCATTTTGGGCCTGAGAGTCTCTGTTCTGTGTGTGTGGACTTTGGGACCAGGATGAATTGCCCCTGCAGTTGCAGCTCTTGCTGGTGACCCATTCTGCCCACCTGTGAGGGTGGCGCCCATGTGGTCACCTCTGTTTTATAGATGGAGAAAGGGAGAACAGGGCCAGGCTTCACACCTGCTGGCTCTGAACCCCATGCACACAGCTCCTCTGCCTTCTCTGGGCAGTCCCTGGGCCTGGCCTAAGTGGGATACTGGGCAGAAACAGTCCTTGCTGGAGGAGGGACTCCTCTCAAGTGGGAGAAACTGGCCCTGCCTGGGGACTGTCCTCCAAGGTAGGTGGCCCAACTAGGCCTTTCTCTGCAGAGGAGCCAAAGGGGGTTCCGCAGGCTTTGCTGTGGCTAGGTGGGGCTCCTAGGAGGAGCAGTTATACTGAGAACGTGCCCAGCTCCCTTCTGTGTGAGGGCAGCACAAAGAGGCAGGGGACCAGGGAGACACCTGGGCTCTGGGGGAAGGAAAGACTGAGGTGGCAGGAGGGAGGGGCAGAGCCAGCCTTTCATGAGGAGTGGGGGGCTGGAAGAGGAACTGAATCACAACCCAGGCAGGCCTCAGGGTGGCCTGGAGATGGGGCCAGGGGCTCAATTCCTAAGCTCCTGCAGCCACTACAGGAGTAGCTGAACTTTTCACTCTGCTGTGGCCTGGGTATGCCAACCCTGTCTTCAGATGTCCTTCCCATGGGGGGTTCAGTCCAGCCTGGCAGCCCTTCACTCCTAGGAAGGGCTGAGTGGTTTTCTCCTTCGCAGCTTCTACCTTAGTTCCACCTTGTCAGCCCGCTCCAAATGTTTAATTGCAGATGAATGTTTACATGTCAAGTCTAGATGAGCCAAGGTAGACTCTGGTTTCGAGACATCATGGTTTAGCCAAAGAGTACATAAAATGATTTTCAGTGTGACTTTTGGTAATATATAGATCAAAGGTAAGCTTTTTTGACTTAATACAAT